AAAAAGAACAGAAATTAGAATATAAAAGAAAGGAGATGACATGAAAGTCAGTTTATAGAAGGAAAAGAGGGAAGTGAAGATAATATAAGAGGGAACTATAGTGGAGATTTAATGGGAGTATGTTAATTTTTATTAATTTCTAGTTTTCACTATATAGAACACATTTATGTTTACGGTATTTTAGTATGCAGCCTGATGGAGTACATCAACAGTGGCCACACCTCGGACTCCCCGATCCACAACTTTGAAGACTTAGTGGCGATTAATACTTGAATAATTGAAACGGTTCAAAAAGGAGAGCGTTTCATCAAATTTAACAGGTTCCTCGTACAGTTCCAGTCTCACACGCCCGTTGCACGTCCATTTGGCCAGAACAGCTGCATGATGCCCTAAACTGCAACGGCTAAGCCCCAATCATCCAAACGACTTAAAAACAGAAACAAGAAAAACTTCCGAGTAGATCATCTAGATCAATTTACTATCTCCGTAGCGGGGACTTAAAATACATTCTCAGCTGGGCGATGTGCATATTTCAGTGTGCGCCAAGATCTACACAGTAAGACTGGATCCTCACTAGAAATCCATGCTTTGGGGTGAAGACTCTATTTAAATTTGACTGCAAGCCAAGACTTAGTTTCGATCCCTGTTTGTGTTTCAATAAAGTGCTTCAATATCCGACTGGATACTAGCCTTGGAAGAAATAACCTTGAAATATTCCAAGGTTTTTATTAATAATATTACACGAAACACATCCATAACAACAATAACAACCATATCAAGGTTTTTTTTGGACCTATCGAGTGCCGCTAGGACGATACAGAGTAGCATACAGAGTAGGCTTCAGCTGATGGAGGGTCGAGCAAGCGTGGGGCAGAGCCCGTCTTGAGTCACTTCAGGGCTGGGATTCGCTGAGACCAACCGAGTCCGGCCGATGCACAGAAAGCTGAGATCCCTGCTATGATCCGCCATTGGGCTGAGCCTCCATTGCCAGACTTTGGGACGGCGCCACTAGCCCTTGTGTACTGAAATACCGTTTCTTATTCTTTTCTTGTCCACATGATTCAAGTTTTTCAATGATCTCATCTTACTCTCTGTACTCTCCCGCAGGCGCCTCTGCCTCTGCTTCTTCCCTAAAATGGAATCCCTGCTGCATATGAGTTCAGTCACATGGTCTGGTGTGGGTGTATGGGGTGTTTGCTCTGAGTCAGGTGTTATGAGGTTTCGTCATTGCTATTTTGTATCTATAGAGGGCATATAACGTATGGAAAAATATGCGACCGAGTTGTTTTTTTCCCTAAAATAGATATGAGGCGGTGCAAACTACTCGCCACGTGTGGCGGATATCTCCGGCCCCACATCTCAATATGCAAAGCCCTAGTCACTCCAACGTATGTTGTAGTTTCTTGCTTCACTTTTTGCTTCACTCCGTTCACTTTGCAGGTTTTACCGAAAATCGGGAGAAGGGATATGAGCTGGCACCAGGTGGGAGCTGGAACCTCTGGTAGATCCTAACCACATCCACAGTCAGGCGGCTGCTGAAACTCAGCTCTCTTGGATCTGTATCAAGCCTGGTTTCATGATTGTCAAGTTACAATCAAGTTGGAATACTGACATCACCGTATGAATGTAGCAGTATATTGAAATCCAATGCATTTCGCAGACTGGATCGGCTATGACTCATATGTGTGCCGATGATGTTCGATTTGAAACGAAGCCAGACAGTGTCCTAATATTGCACGATATACCGTTTCTTGGATAAACTCCCAGGTGGACTCGGAATAAACCAGTGCTTTTAGGTATGCCAAATGACCGACTTACGGTGACTTATGTTTAGAACACACCCAAAGGGCTCATTCAGGAATGAGTAGCACAGCGCACTCCGGGTCTTGTGTAGACATATATTTGATCATGAAACTCCTGACTCATAGATCATTGCTTGGTTTGCAGAAAATCCCGATAAGGTTTCCCTTGTTTTTCCTAGGCATCCAGATTATCGGGTCGCACCCAAACCTCCGAGCAAGGAGTCTGGTTGTGTTGAAAACCCCCACATTTTTATACTACTTAGCAGACTTGGAAACAATGCATCCTACAAAAGTATCGATTCGAATAATGTCTTTCTGCGCTTCATGAAGATATCAAAATTTACTCGTGCTGCCAACTAAACGCTTGCATCATGTGTTAGATCCATAGCTAGCTGTATAGCTCTTTCATTCATTGTTATCATTCATTCTATTCATAATTCTGACAAAAACATTAGATATGCCCATAGTTCGCTTTCCATCTTTATCTGTCCTCTTAAGAGCTGAATTGGATACATTGACATGATATATAACATCTTCTAGGGACCATCGCAACAACACAGGTTGCTGCTCGGCAGAAAAATGAGGGTTCTCTATATTTCATCGTATTACAATTTATGAATCTTTATAATCCACCCATTTAACAAAGTTTCATTAATTGACGGGATGTGTTAGAGTAGTTACGGCAGGTTTTTGGGTTCATCACACCAACCTAGGCACAAGCCCTTATAAGCATGAGATTATTTCTCAATTTTCAAGCAATAGCTTCATGTACTCGCTATATGGCCTACTCTAAAGCACCTATACTATCTAGATCGCTCGTACATCCCGTAGAAAAAGTCTAGTGCTACTATAAAAACCACTTTGTTATCATCTTTCTATCAGTCTTTTTTGAGGTATTTTCTATGGTATTTTAGAATATAACCGCTAATTCCCCCCTGATATTGCTAGTGGTGGCACCTTTAATACGGAGTCATTGAAGACTGTATACTGAAATAAATAATTGGAGAGAAACTACATATATATAGATATAGCAAACACGGTGTGGTCAATTGAATAACTTATCTCTGGTGTCAATATTCTTTCTAGGTCCATTCTCAAGTCTGAAGGGCGAAAAGAAAAAAAACCAAACAAGCGAAAGCCTTAATTGTAACACCGGGTCTTTAAATCTAGAACGCTTTTGTGACATTTAACCCTGAATTCTTTTTTTTTTTTTTCAATGCTTGAAAAACAGCGGTAGCCTTAAAAAAAAGTTGTCGTGTTGGTCTCCAAACCTCGAAGCTTGATCAAAGGGACCATCCACTCCGAGGGAGGTTAAGTGGGCGCCAAATATATTTCATTCATGAAAAGACTTGGTAGGTGTTGCTTAGCTACAAGCCTCGTACAAGGCCAGAGATACTTCGAGAACATACTGAGATCTAGAAGCTTGGAGCAATAGTACAAATCAAGTCAAAGGTTGGCCCGACTGAGCAAAGGGAATTGATAAGCACGCATTTGCATGAAGGATCAAGGATATGCATCCACCCAAGTAGCAAAATACCGACCAAAAAATGACATGGTCCGGGATTTCTACCTAAAACCCCGGTCTATTCCAGTACGGAGTAGGAGAGTCGATATATGTTATCACGAGGATGCACAAGCTATATAGCAACACACTAATGCAGGAACGGCGCATCCCGCATTAAATGACTGTTGGGGGCTTTTTTTTCTAGCCCCGGGGAGCATAGGGCACCATACCAAGAAGTATCGTTTGAAAAAAAAAAAAAGAAAAAGCATGGCAAGTGAGGAAACGATCGTCAGATAAGCAATACGAAGAGAAGTTTGTCACACAATGGGGTTGCTTTGGGGTATATAACTTACTAAAAAAGGGTAAGAACTGCACGCGGGACAATAATAGTAAGACCCATTTCCCCAGAGAATAACTGTATGTCATCCAATCACTTCATCTCAACTATTCCTGGTATGAGGATCGACCAGGAACAAAATATGGCCCCCTGTGGACCGCTTTAGGTGCGAGAGGAACTTTGTGGGGAAATTTTATTATAGTATGGCTGGATAGTGATGGATAGGGTTATCCAAGGATGCCGAACAGCCGCACTACTCCCTACATGTAGTTTGCCATGATAATTCAACACTCTACATTTTAAATAAACCAGGGGAGCTACCGAGTCGTCAGGAATATGCATTTTCCCATTTCCCCTGGCCAAGGAACCCCCGCGCCGATCTACACGCTAGCGCCTTCAAACGGGGCCCCTGAACAGTTCACATGCTTCTCCCGCCCCAATACCCTACTGCATGGCGCGCAGGATCAGGCCAAGCCCGCATATATTTTCGATTGATGGCGCAATTAAGCTATATATTCAGGGTCCATTCCAAAATTGATCAGGGTGTGATCAAATAAACGTTTCTAGAAAGAAGGTCCAATTATTTTGAGAATAGTTATAGAGATACATACATTGAAGATGTTCTCTCCACAACCCTATATACTCCCCCACCCCATGGGGTTTGTATATCCCGAGGTCAAATATGCCGCCTACTAAAAAAAGGTGGGAATTGAACCCCATAGACCGGATGCTCTTGCCAAAGTTGGACAAGAACAGCATAATTATGATAGTGGAGAACACCGCTAAGCGAAGGCTGTGATTCGACATTTGCCCATTGAGATGCGCTTAGCGTAGGGCCCAACACTCTCCTTTCTGGCTTGATCCAAGGAGAATCGTGTCATTGGCCGAGATCAGCGATCAGTTGGGATACCTGATCAACACCTCGAGTCAAGCGAGATGCTAACTCCGCAGGTCGTAATTTCCAGCATCGCTATTCCTCGTCCCCGCAAGTCTAAGCCACTAGCTTCGGACGGTGGATGGATCCGTTGACGACATATGGACCCTAACTTCGCTGGCGGCTTGGGAGGTCATAGAGAGCCCGCTCGAAACCATGAACACGGAACGAAGAAGGGAAGTCCCCTGCCGAGATCGGGTCCAACCGCCCCATTTTCCACTGAAATCAATATAACCGGAAAAGACCACACATCTTCACATGTGGGTTGGCTGTCCTCGGCTTGCTCCATCCAAGGATCTGCAGTGGATGACTTCCAAGGACATAAAGGACACGCGAGATCTCCCCGCAAGATGAGTTCTGCTCTCAGACGTCAACCGGAAGCCCCTCCTGTCAAGTTACCTCTGTACAGAGCAACGGCCCAAGATGCGTTTCTCCACCGCTTTTATTTCAACTCTGGTGCTCTCCAGCACCGCGCTGGCCGGTCCCGCCGCCCAGGTATCCTCATCTGTGGGAGCTGGTGCGACCACAGAGGCAGAGGCGAACAAAAAGGACGTTGCGCAACCCCATGCAAACAGCGAGAGTGCACCAGATACCACTCTTATTGTGCAAACAGCAGAGAGCATTGTCAACACTGCTGCGCAGCAAAATACTCAGACTGCAACTCACGCAGCAGCAGCAGCAGCAGCAGTATCGACTGCTGAATCAAGCAGCAACGACAAGGAGAACGCTGTTGCAGACACAGCCAACGAGGCGCAGAAGGACACCCAGAGTGTTACGACTTCTGCCAACGCTGAGACTTCGGCCAAGCCGGACACGTCGGGCCTGAACAACATCCTGCCAACAGAGAACTCTATTCCAGGAAGTTCCGCCTCAGAGACTGTTACATCTCATGCCTCCCAAAAGACCAAAACAGGCTCTAGTGCTCAAGACACAGCTACCACGACCCAGACTACAAAGTCTGCAGAAAGCACACAGAACTCCTTCACAGGGGGCGGTAGCACAACGACCCACTCCTCGGATATTGGGAAGTTCTTTGATGGAATCGGGGGCCTGTTTTCCCCTACTCTGCTGGCGGATATCGAGTCCTTCTTCCACCATGTCGGCTATCTCCTTGATGACGACACCACACAGAATACCAAGGATCTGATTAATACAGCCTCTGGTCTGCTCACCAAGAGCCTGATCACAAAGGTCACTGGACTGCTTGACAACGCCAGCGACCTCTTGACTGCCGAGTTCGTCAAGGAGACCAAGGGTTTGATCAAAGCCGTTGGTCCTGTGATCACTCCTGAATTGTTCAAGGAGATCAATAGCCTGCTTGGCAACGCAAATCATCTCCTGACCGCCGAATTCGTGAAGGAAACCAAGGAGCTAATTAACACCGTGTCCCCTGTTCTTACGCCCGACCTGTTCAAGGAAATCAGTAGCCTTCTGGGTAACGCCAACAACCTTTTGACTCCTTCGTCTGTGAAGGGGATCAACAACCTGCTCACTAACGCCGGTGGTCTGCTGACTGCTGACTTTGTCAAAGAGACCAAGAGCCTGATCAGCGCTGTTGGTCCTAATATCACACCTGAGCTGTTCAAGGAGATTAACAGTGTTCTTGGCAACGCTAACAAGCTCCTAACCCCCTCAACTATCAAGGAGATTAGCGGCTTGTTGGGTAATGCCAACACCCTCCTGACGCCTGCAACAATCAAGGAGATTGGCGGCTTGTTGAACAATGCCAACAATCTCCTGACGCCTGCAACAACCAAGGAAATCGGCGGCCTTCTCAACAACGCCAACAGCCTCCTGACCGCAGATTCTGTCAAAGAGATCGGCGGCCTCCTCAGCAGTGCCAGCAGTCTCTTAACGCCCAGCTTTGTGAACGAGACCCAGGGCCTTATTGGCGGTGTGTCGAAGTACCTGACCCCGGAAATTCTCGCATCTCTCGGCCCTCTGCTCTCCAATGCCAATGATCTCTTGACGGAAGACGGCGTCAAGGAGATCAATGGCCTACTAGGCAACGCCAACGATCTCCTTACCCCAGATTCGGTCAAGGAAATCGGTGGCTTGCTTTCCAGTGCCAGCGATCTGCTCACCCCCAAGTTCGTCCACGAGACCCAGGGCCTGATCGATCTGGTCGCTCCCGCTATCACGTCCAAGCTCCTGACCAACGTCTCCTACTTGCTCGGAAATGCTACTAGCCTGCTGAACCCATCATTCGTCAACGACACCCGCACTCTCATCACTGATGTCTCGCCTGTCATCACCCCCAACCTCCTCGCCGAGGTGGGTGGCCTTCTCAACAATGCCGGCGATCTCCTCACACCCAAGTTTGTGAACGAGACTCAAACTCTGATCGAGGATGCCGCAGATGTATGTTCCCATTTCCCCTCTCTAATCTGTTGAATGTGTTGCTGACTCTGATTTAGATCCTTCCACTTGTCATGAAGCTGCTCGGGTCGTTGTAAGGTGCTCTTGGTGATCTCGACGTTTCCTTTCTCTTTTCTTCCTAATTCGTTTCACAACGAAACATTCATGGTGACTCATGATGATTAATGTTATATATGAGTATCTTTAATACGATATAATCGAATGACAAGAAATGTTGATTTATGATACTTCAAATTTCTGAGGGTTTAATCTGGATGTGTTGCCTTGTAGATATGACAATTATGTGACATGCGGTGATAGCTTGGCGATTTCACAAGTTGTGGTGTTGATCGGGCGAGCCATCGCCACTGCTAATTTAGTCCTATAATTCCCAAAAGAGGCAAGGGAAGTTTGCTCCAAGATTGAAATTGGACGAGAGAGAGCCCATTGGTGTAGCGTGGGTCAAGCGAACTTTCACATGGGTGGACATAGGCGCAATATTCCTTAGCGTGCCTGTCTGCTCACATTTACAAGCTCAAAGGCATGTTCTTTCCTTGGACATGTTGGCAAGGGTATAATCCATGGTAGGTGATAAACAAGTTGCCTTCACTGGAATCATAGATGAAGAGTTCTTTCGAGCGCGGCTGAGAACGAATGGTGTCTCCTCTTTGAAGGGTAGGTAGTCTGTCTACCAGGAAAGGCGATAAGACTATTGAAAAAAAGCCTTGGTTTTTCCTTCGTGGTCTGAATGGTTTGGAAGAGATGTTGCTATCGTCTCCCTCAAGACGGGATGTCCGATGCCTTGGTCTCTTGAAACTTGGACACAACCTTCATCTCAGTGTCGCGTTCCTTGACCTTCTTGTCCATGGATTTTTGAACCTCATCTCGTTTTCTTTTAGCAGCCTCAATCTTCTCTTTCACTTCTTTGGAGATTTGTTCTTGCGCATGGAGCGCAGCCTCGCGTGATTTGTATTGTTCTTCCAGTTGCTTAAGCTCAGTTTGGTAATCTCCAGGTTTGATCGGTTGACATGTTACTGGATCATAGCGGTATGATGGTAGTGGTCCATCTGGAACTTTTATCTCGGCGAGATCAGGGTGGATTGGGACAATGCGGGTTGGTGAATCCAAAGGAACGGCCGCGACTGAGGCCGGGGGAGATGAAGCAGGAGGGGTAGTCTCAGGTTTCACCATGGTTGTGGAGCGAAAACAAGGTTCAAAGTGGCAGTATTTTGCAAGCAACAAGTATTGATGGTCGCCTGAGATTTTCGAAGAGGATGTGAGGTGTATTGGCGTAGAAATGACCTCGAGATTGTGGCTACAGGTTGGTGATTCTGCCACATCGTCACACTTCACCGCTCGTGGTGTCCGCGGCGTATGCGGGGAGGACTCTTAGCCAAATTGACGACTCTAATCACTGCTTGGCATTTGATATTCATGCTAGTTGGGTTTTTCCTCGGCTCTACATTGAGATATTTCCTCGAGGCCGGTCCTAAGTGGATCAGTTAGTGTGCCTGAGTTCTCACAAGCTTAAGCCGGTGACGTGACCTTTAACATGCAGGCATTTGGTATGTTCCTCTATACTTCTTGATTGTTATAAGCTAACACACTCGCGACAGTCCCCAAGAATAGACGAGTAAGCTACCTAATAAGGCCAAGTGAAGTGCATATGTAACTGACCTCTGCTACAGCCTAGGTTCGAGCTCGTTTTAAGGGTATGCATTCTAAACAGACTATGGAAATGCTGTCAAGTCTGACGTTGAAAAGATTATCGATATCAATAATGTTCCTTTAGGCAATAGCGTTGCTTTTGTGCGATGGCGATTGCCATCGTCAAGCTCCACTGAGCACCAAGGCCACACAGAAAAAGCAACTCTATCAGATCACCGCGCTTACTGGGGCTATGAGAAATCCCTCCAAGTAAGGCTTACAATTGATAGGACATCAATGTTACAGGAGTGTGACCTCAATTTTGAGGTCTTACAAGAGTACACCTCTTCACCCATGTCCGAAAAGTGCGTGCTGGGCAAAATCAAACTCAACCTTGCCGAATACGTGGACAAAACCGAGGAAGATGAAGGGATTATTCGGCGATACCTGATGCATGAAAGCAAAGTGAACAGTACTGTCAAGATTGGGATCGCGATGCGCCAGCTAGAAGGAGACCGCAACTTCACGACGTAAGCGAATCCCTATGCTTATTTCCGATTCACAATCTCAATGCTGATCATTAAAGACCACAGTTGAAATCTGCCACTGTCTTCGGAGGAATCGCCGGAGTCGTTCAATCTACCGAACAGCCCGTCAACGCCGATGAATTTGGCCAGCTGCCGTCTATTGACACCAAGAGCCGTGAGATTGCAGATATGCAAGACATGTATCGGCGCACTTTAGCAGCGTCATGGTCGTCTAGAGCCTGTGACCTGCCTGCTGATAAGTTGATTGAAGAGTTGTTTGCTGGAAGTTCTTGCTGGAACAACGATGCACACAATTCCAACGCTGGCATCTCAGCGGGCGATCACCGAGATTCTCTATTGAGCCCAGAGAAAGTTCCCCGACAAAGCCGCTCCGGGAAAAAGCTGTCACCCAGTTTTGAGCGGCGCCCCAAGAGTTCTTCCAGCAATCGCTCACACACTAGCACTAAGACCCCAGACTCACTTGCTGCGCTTGGACATCAAAAAAAGGGTGGAAGCATCGAGCAGCAATTGTATGAAGGGGTCAAGGGTCGGGCATGGAAGGCACCAGATACAGATAATGAGCTTTCCGAGTTCGATGTAAGGGAGGACTTGCGCAGCTGGGAAGTGGTACCAAAAGAATGAATTCTAGATAGTTAGTTACCCTTCTGCGCTAACTATGTATTACATAATAGTATATTGCTTGAATTCCACACTTCTAAGTATGTTTTCTGCATACATACGAGAGAAAAGTTTCGAGAGAGTCTTGTTCTACACGATCGAAGGATTTGTTCACACGTTTTGTACCTCGTAGTTAGTTACATAACCTAACTAACTAACTAACTAACTAACGTATTTCACTACCGAGTGGTCCACACCACCGAGTGGTCCACCCAAATCACCCGATCAATTTTAAAGGCATTTATCTCAACACAAACGCCATTAAATTAACTCAACTAATTAATCGGTCTATCTGGACATGTTTCTCTCCTATGCCCTGGCAGTCTACATATTCCACACCCCCGGGGGGCCGCGTACGTGGCTGAATAGCCGATTCTCCAGAGGTGCCAGGGCCGGGGGGAGGTGCTTCACTTGCTTCCTGTTGCTGCAAAATTAAAACAGAAGCTTCTTCAATTGAAAGGCCCTCTTCAGAAGCAATATGCCTTCGGGACCTAGTCCGTTTTTGCTTCTGCTTCTCGTTTTCAGCGCGTAATTCCTTGTTTTCCTTCGCTAATAAGATAGCGCCTTGCATTGTAAGACGGAAGCCTTTTATAAGCTGGTTTAATGCACGATCTGACGGGCTAGGCGGGCTTCGAGACCTCGTACGAAGTAAAGCTTTAATTGATGAAGCCTGTCGACGTAGTTCTTTCTCTGTAGCGGGTGTTTTTGGTGTGAAATTTCGGCTTGAATCACTACCCCTACTCGGAGGGGGGTAGGGGTTCGAAGCTGAATATTTAGCTTCGAGATCACTCTCTCTGGTGAAAAAGGGACTAAACCAGCTGCTCCGAAGCTATTCTTAATAGTCTCCGATTTGAAAGCTTCAATCCGTATAAGGGGGTATAATTCGAGGAAATCAAGTTTATCAATATGATTAACTTGTCGTCTCATCTTTGTCTCCACCAGCCGACCGTATGATCGTTTTAACACAGCAAAACAGCCGATATCGAGAGGTTGTAAAAGATGAGAGGAGTGCGGAGGCATACAGATAGGTATTATCTTATTTTGCTCGCAGATTTCATCGAATTTCGGGGTCAAATGGCTTCCGTGTCCGTCAAGAACTAGCAGCCTATACCTCCCCTTCGTACGAAGAGAAGTGCTAGGAATAAAGAGCTTTTCAAGCCAGCGAAGTCCAATTTCATCTGAAGTCCAACCATTAGGACTAACTTCAATTCGCCAGTCGTTTGGTAGGCCTTCGAACCATGATTCCAAGTAGACTTTGCCTTTGAAAATTATACACGGAGGGAGGGCCCAACCCGATGAATTTGCACATTCAATAGTAGTCACCCATTCACGATTTCCAGGCTGTAAAAGCGAGCGCCGACCGTAGAATTCACTTCTCGTTATCACCTTCGCCGTAGCGATTAACCCCATTGCAAAACCGGTCTCATCGAAGTTATAAACGTCATCGGGGTCGATTCCAAATTGAAGGATTGTTTTTTGAACGAGATCGAACCACTCTCGAATGATTTTTGGGTCTTCGCACTTCGCACGTTCGAAATTATAGCGTCTCGAGAATCGGGAGGAGAGGTCAGGGTGTCGTTTCACGAATTTTGTAACCCAATTTTCGCCAACTGAAAGGATTGGGGTAGTTCCGCGCTTTTCGAGAAGCAGATTCGCCATTTCTCGAACCATAGAAGGCCGAGGGGCTGATCCCCGAGAATCCATAGAGAGAATCCATTTTCGAAGAGATTCCTCTTCAGTTTCTGTCAATTTGTGTGAATTGGCACGAGAAATCGCGCGGCAAGGGGTATTCTTTAGACGACGGAGGAGAGTTGACTTTGGGACTTCAAAACGGCGCGCTACTTCACAGATAGAGCTGATTTGTTGATCCTTAATAGCCTGGATAGCTAATAAGATTCTACCCTCTTGCTCTATTGAATTTCTAGAGCTTTGAGAGCGAATTGGTGGCATGGTGGGTGGTTGAATTGATTAAGTGCAAATTTAGGGACGCGTTTTGGGTGGGGTGGACCACTCGGTGGTGTGGACCACTCGGTAGTGAAATACGTTAGTTAGTTAACGTAATCGGTAAGCGAGTCGGCCATGTAAGCCAGCCGGCCACCCAGCCCAAAACGCGTCCATAGATTAGCACTTAGTCAATTCAACCGCGCACCATGCCACCAATTCGCTCCCAATCCTCTAGCAATTCAGCAGAGCAAGAGGGTAGGGTTTTATTAGCTATTAAAGCTTTTAAAAAGAAAGAAATCTCT